AGCAAACAAAGAGATTATAGAATACCTTTGAGGAATTATAAAAGAGCTATAAGTGGTGAAAACTTACTTTGTCTTTTACTTTTGTAATTTAGTTATGATGGTATTTAAGAAATTGATGAGTATCTTTTGATACAAGTGGAGTTGATTCTTCTCATTTGTAGTATCTAATAATTTTAGCTTTTCAAAATTTTATCTAAGACAAAGTTATTTTTGGAATCAAGTGAAATAATTCAATTCTAGCTATTAGAGTATATATATATATATATATATATATATATATTTTAATTTTAAATTATATGCAAAAAAAGACTCTAAATATATTTAGTTTTATAAGACTAGCTATTTAGTAAAAATATTATTGTAAATAAAACTTGATACTTTTAAACAACTAAAAATTTAGTATAAAATGGAATATATTATCCCAATGTATATAACAAAACTTGTTAAGTTTTATTGACTTGTGTAATAGCTCATAGAAAAAATTTATTTGAAGCCACTCCAATACTTCACATTTAAAGCTATCTTTAAACCTTACACTCAAGGCTATTCTAAAACCTTAAATCCAAGGCCATCCTAAAAAAAATATCCAAATATCAAAACAAAGACTATCTTAAAAACTTGCATCCATTTCTCTCTTGTTCTTATTCATTTTACCAACATTTTTTACTTTTCTCCATGTTAATCTTGCACACTAAAATTTGGATTCATGCATCATATTTTAGGATTGATAATGGTATAATCTTATAATACATATCATAAAATTCAAAACATAAATTAATGAATATAATTATACATTTGTAAATCAATATTTTATTCACATATTTTCTTTATAAGAGCTATGATTTATTTAATTTTCTACATATTTTTATCTTTAAATTAACTAGAATTACACAAGATCAAAGAGCTTGTCTTTTTTCTTGCGTTTTCACATCACTTTCATTTTTTCTTGCTCTAGAACAAATTTTTCTTGTTCAAGCACCATCTTATTTCTCTCTACCTTGTCTTCTATTTTGAATTCTTTTTGTAACCTGATCTCAGCTCTTTGACTTTCATATTTAAGTAGAGTCAAGTACTCTATCATTACAACGATTATTCCTCATGATGACTCTATAAATATATAGGCCATCATGTGCCATCTCTTTGAAGATTTCTCTTTAGACTTTAAAACTTACAATACGTCACTTTTCTTTTTGAAGGTGATGGTGGTGATATTGCCAAGCAATGCATGTTGTACTGAAGGCAATGCTAGTGAAATTGATAGTGATAGGAAAGAAATAGAAAAGAACAAAAAATTGTACTCTTTCTTGCATACTACTTCTTGTTCATTGAATTTGTCTTCCATTAAACTCTTCCAAGTATCTTTAAAAAATGATTCTTCAGACAATAAATTCAAACTAGGCAATTCATTTGATAAATTGGTCATCAATATTATTGTAGAGTCTCTTGATTACATTGTATTTGTTATTGTAGTGGAGTCCTTCTTGCAAAGTAGGGTCATATTTGCCATTGCATCATACAAAGCATGCATCTTGCCAAAGAATAGACAACTATCTTCTAGCTTTGTAGCCATTGTATGTATACCTCGCTTTTAATCTTTGTCATTGATGTTGGTCCCTATATCCATTGATTAGTTATATGCAACTACAAATGTAGCTTTGAAAGTACATAATCAACCTAATATATTTGTTGTAGAAAGGTTAAACTTATCCTTTAAAGTTTTATTCACCTAAATAGCTAGTTGCATAGAAGCTCTATTCTTGGTCATTTTCTTCTTGTATACCTTTGTTATGCTAGAGTTGTACAATTTTTTAAAATTTGATGAGTCTTCCGACCAATTGACAATTGTGATTAATTTATTTATACCAAAATGACCTCTTTTGCCACTATTTGTAAGGTTTGAGACCTTCTTTGAATGCATAATGAATAGTTCAAAAGAATGAAAAGATTTTTCTTGAATGTTAAGTTGCAATATTAAGTCAACTTGATAACACTTCATACATCACCAAAATATCAAGTCATACTTTAGAAACTTGAAAAAGATATTTAAGTTTGAACAATGATATTTGGAGAAGTGATATTTTGAATGATCTGTGACATTTGGATTTCCAAAAACCAAAAACACATGATATTTGGTTGCCTAAAAACATTAAGTCTAAATCTTCTTATTGATAGGCAACTACAAGAATCTACTACTTCCAAACCACTACAATCAAAAATTCACATTTTAATTAATTTTTTGTTAACAAATCTACATGGTGTTTGGTAATGTTACCACACTTGTTGCTATTGCCACGAAAATTCTTCACTCACTTTACATATATGTTTAATTTTAATTTTTTAATTTTGGTAATATTTTCAATGTTATTTTGTAACATCTATCAAAAGACTTATATTCAGTAATAATATTGACAAAGAGTATAAGTGACATGTGGTGAATGGCAAGTTGTGGTGATAATAACACAACCCTACACCTATATATATATATATATATATTTATATCTCAAAAACCTCTTATTCACTAATTTAGTTAGCCTTTAGCAGCTGGAGCCAATCATGTTTGAATTTGTGTTGGATAAGTATTGATCACAGAGGTTTTAGAGTAACCATGGGAAAGTAAACCAACAACAACCCATTTCTGATGAGCTTCTAGATTAAAGAAAGGAGGAAAAACAGCAAACAAAATAAAATAAATAAATGACATTGACTCGGATTGAAATTAATCAGCGTTAGAAAACTCCATCAAGAATTGTAATCTCATGCAAGTCAGTCAGCCTTTGGATTCAGTGCATGTGAAGGAACTGGTGTCAGTAATAAACGACGACAGCAGCCAACAAGCTTACTGTGATGGTGGATGAATGACAATTACTGACATTTTCACCTCATTGGTACAAAATTTATTTATTAAAAAATATTAAAATAATAAAAGTTTTAAACCCCTTATCGACATTGCCTACCCACGTTTATTCAGGTGGGATTTTTTTAATTTTTTTTGTATTTTTTTCACAAAAATTATGAATTACTTACGGTAATTAATTGTAATCTATTCATCAGTGTAGAAGTTCTTAGTTCATCAATTGACAGTTAGTAATCTCCAAAAATATTTAAGGATAATTTTTTGGAGCTTGAAACTCTGACTTAACTTGTATAATGTGGTTGTATTAGTATTTTGTGGATCTATTCTGATGTATTTTAAATTTTGATCCCTTTGCAATAAAACATCTTCAATGTATAATTAGATTGTACCTTTGATTTAAAAAAATAAATAAAATAAAAACTCTGCAACCATTGATTTGTTGTTTTCAATGTGTTTTAATAGTACAACTGAAAGTTTAGCTAAGTACCTCAAAAATTTCCAAATCTGTGCAACAAAACATTCCCTTCGTTGTAGGTTAACATTGTTACAGTCAATAAAAAAAGTTAAACAAGTTTGGCCTATTAAAAAGGTATTAGTCTAATTTTTCTGATGTTAATAATATGATTAGGTAGCACAACCATTAATAGCTTACTTAAAGGAGTGTTGACTAGCCATAATGAAGATGTAAGAATATGTTGTGCTAATAAATGCTCTGTGGACATGCATTGGTAAATGGGTAGATACAAAATTCTCTGAGAAAATCAGTTACTGGTCCTTTTCATTGATATTGATATTAAGGTGGAATGCGTAACAAATAATGGCTTAATAAATATAAAAGAATGTTGTATCTACTTTGTGTAGGTATGTCAGGAATAGGTTGAATCAGATATGGAAGTTCAAAATGAATTCTAATTCTTCATTTATTGAAACAAGCAGTACAAAAAATATAGGTGGTAACGTGAAGACTGGTTTTTTGAAGGCTGATCAACTTATTTGTTGAAATTCATAGTATTGTTAAATCCATCACATGCAACCTTTGTTGCATCACTAGTTTCAAGTAAGTTGATTAATGTTTCTTTTAATTATTTCTTTGGTGAATGTGTACATGGTTGTAATACACAACTACAGATAGATAGATAGATAGCTATATTTACACATGCACACATTTACAACATTTTACCAAATAAAATTGTGAAAAAAAACCTACTTGGTTACAACATAACGACCCCATAAGTTAGAATTCTTTATACTATGTTTGATACTATTATTTACATATGTATATGTATATGCATATACTCTAGTGGAAACTTGTATTGTTGGGTACACAAATGCTGAAAAATGATCTAATGTACAAATAGAAGATTGGAAGTCTTTTTGCAAATCATGTAGGGTTGTTTGTTGGTAAAAAATTTTATTAATTTTGGCCAATGAGAGGGCTTTTCTGTCTTTTTTTTTTTATACCTAAGCTTTATTGTTATTCCATTCGTAAACATCATCGAGAGGGGTAAAAGATGAGGGATAAATAGTGTGGAATATATCCTGAAACTGTTCTCGGCCAAGACTCCTTTCAGGCTTTTCCAGAGTAGGGTGGGTGTTGAAAGTTACGGTCGGTCTCATCAGTCTGACGATTTTACGTGGAACAGGCGAGGGTTGGGGAACGGGGAACGTGAGGTGGGGGAGAAGGGGAACTTACGAAAGGCGCCGGGGGGATCACCAGTAGAAGCACACGGCAGAGGGGCCCGGGATTCTGGATAGCGCGGGCTCCGATCCCCGTCGTCGTCGACGACGTGCATGTACTACAGTGGACCTCGTTCCGGGATTTGTGTGTCGATGTTTGCGCAGGCAGGGGTCGGGGGGGGGGGATCCACATTCTGGTCGCGTCAGAGTAGCGCTCTGTGTTGGATTCGCTACTTTTTCTCCTTCTCGATTGTCGTAACTTATTTTGTTTCTGTTTTTAAAGGTCGGAGAGAGAGAGATTGTGGTGTTGGACTACAGGGGACGATGCTGGAGACTAGAGACCGAGACCGAGACCGAAAGCGAGAGAGAAGGCTGTGGATGTGCGATGGTGAGTGACATATGCATGGGAGGGCGGTGAGGTCAGCGAAGACGAGGTTGTGATGTCGTGGAGCCAGTTGCCGAGGTGAGGGAGGGAGGGCTGAATTTGTTTGTTCAGTTTGGGAAGGGTTTTGTTTCTTGAGGTGGTTGATGAGCGATTGCGAGGGATGGGGATTGTTGCGCATTGCGAGTGGTGTTAAGCTACGAGGTAGTTGAGATGTGGGCGTTTGGTTTGGCTTAGTTAGTATTTGTCAGTGATCGATGGGTGAGGCGAATTGAGTAGCCGTGTATGCAATTCCAGGCGTTTGTTTGCGTTTGGGTGGCATGTTTAAGGGGAGGTGTAGGAGGTGCTGTGTGAGGGAGTAGGGGTTTCGAGTTTGTGTGGGAGTGTGACTTTCGATATAGGAGATTAGGGAGTTACAGGGGTTTTTGGTGTTGCGGTAGGAAGGTCAGGGCAAAGGTATAGGGGATGATCGTCTGCGCGAGGGGTTTCGGGGCGTTGCGCTTGAATTTTGATAGTGTGTTGAAAGGGATGTGATGCTTTAGAGCGTGGCAATTGCAGGGCGTTCCGAGGTACAGGAGCCGTACGTGCTAACGTTAACGGTTCCACAAGGACGGTTGTACGTGCTAGTTAGGCTCGTTGCAGCAGGACCAGCCCATGAGCATGCCCTGTTAGGGTTCGTATTCGCCAATCGCTCGGTGGTTCTTTTGATTCACGCATCAGGATTCTGGAGGAAGAGACAGTCGCTTTTGCACTTCGCGATTAAAGTTGTTAATGCCAGAGGCCCAGTACGTGAATCTTGGCAGTCTTCTCAAGGTCGATCTGACATCTGCATGAAGTCGGACCAGGTCGTGAATCATATGTACTGTATAGTTACAACGCATTTAAGCATCCTAAAGGTGGAAGCTATTATCTCTGCAGAAACAAGCAATTTGTGGTGGTAGAGAATGCAGGGTTTTGGCATTGCGCATCTTCTCTGAAAGATGAGCTTTGAGGAACACATGCAGCAATAGAGCGAAGTATAAGAGCTTTTGTTCACGGGGTAGCCAATCTCAACTCCTCTTTCGTTCGATGTTGCCATTCACCAATTTCGTCTTAGAGACTCAGCCCATATGACATGAAAATCCTGTGGGTACAGTTTTTGACTGAAGCGGGACACCACAGGATCCGAATTGGTGACATTGGGTTTAGCCATAAGCAACACTACATTGCAGCCGATGAAGTCATCTTTGGGCTCCGCTCCCTTTTGGCAAATACGAAGCACACTCTGTTCTGCAGAAAACACAACAATTGCAAACTGTCGCTGAGCAGGCGAGTGCGTCCCATACAAATATTTCATTTTAAGTAGTATAACAGCTTGCTATACCCTCACTCTCAGAAAAAAGAAAAAGGAAAGTGGGGTGGCTACGGAGTTTAATCAGATGCTACATACGAGTGCACGATGCATATGTTTAACATCCTGGTTAATTAGTCATATGTTCTAGATGTTGAAGGGTATCACCCTCAACAATTGGAAGACTCGGTGCTGATAACGTCAAAGGTGAAGCACCAGCATAACGTAGGCAGAAACTTCTCGGCGTGTAGTTCTTGACTGGGAATCAATCTGAATATCTTTACTCTTTCACATGTCTTTGTTTCTGATGGTTATAAGTCTCGATTTCTAGTTTACTTCACGCTGAAATTGACATGCCTTCTTAATTTTCCAGGTAGATGTGGCAGTTGGACAACTGCCAGCTTGAAGTAGATGCCATCATCTTCCCGCTCTTCAAATCTTTGATTTTCTCTTTTGCCACTATTTAAGTTTTAGGTGTCGTTCCCGCTGGCCCTCTGCTGTCGCAAGGAGAAATCGCTCTATTATAATTGCGTACTCCTGAAAATCTTACAGGAAATATGCTGGGTGCGTGGCTGATTGTTTGTAATTTACAATAGTTGATTTGAATCTTCATTCGGTTCGCATAGTTCAGCATCCGTTCCGAAGTCAAAATTTATCCTGTTGTACTAGCACCTTTCTTTCCCTATATTATATAGTGATTCCTTGCTCATCGTCTCTTTTGCTCATAATCTTGAGTGTTTCCGATTGCGAGCATTGTTTAGCTCACATTTTTGTGTCTCCAGCCTGTGTAGCTTGGTCATCTGGGAAATTGGTTTCTTATTACCTCATGCAGCCAATTGGGCCTTCAAATCGGTGAATGGCAGCCCATGATTCCTCTGTGGGCCGAGCTTGGGTTTTATCCCCTCCGGATGAAAGTGTTATGAGTGGAGGTGAAATCGATGGTCTCGGCAGCAGCGGGTTAACGATGGGGTTGTCTCCCTTTGTTAGGCAATCTTCGAGCTTTGGAGGTGAATCTCTTCATAATGACACTCAAATTGCGACCGTATGCTTGCCTAGCGGGGATAAACTCAAGGGCGTAGTGCAATCTGACACAGAGGATGGCAACGTACATAGGGTCATGCCTGAATCGACTAAGGTTAGCTGTGATCCTTTTTCTATGTCGTTACCGCTACGGTCTCCATCTACATGGGGTTCGACAGCAAGTGGCTCTTCGTCTTGTGGCGAATCATCAATGATGAACGAATCTGAGGGTTGCGATAGACTACTTCCCCTTGGGGAACCACTTGCTCTTCAGGGTACCGAAAAGGATGTGGGATTCGAAGTTTTAGCGGCTCATTTGAGCGTGAGCAGGTTGAAGGAGAAATTGGATGATGCTGGGGAAATATCTGCGGTTCAGGGTAGTACTACTCGATTTCGGGACTTGTTGCGAAGAGGCTCGGGGTCTCTTCCTCCATCATCTTCAAACAGCATGGAAGGGTTACCTTTGCAAGGTGCTAGTGTAGGTTTGGATGCAAATCTTCTCCACGCAGAGACGCAGGGAATGTTGCAGGCTATTCGAGATGTGGACATGAGGATGGGGGCTGAGTTATCAGGAGGTCACGGCCCGTTCGATGATTTGCAGCAGCGACCAGTTTCTGTGCATTCTAGAACAGATTTAATCCGCCTGCGGTTTCCGGAGAAGACTCCTGACAAGCTGCATCGCAAGCGTGCTAAAATTCATCCTCCCAGCTACACTCTGTGAGTTTCATCTTCAATCTCAAATGTGGCAGGGAACTTTGATTCTAATTAAAATATCTAGTAGTGGTGTAATGCATATGGAAGCGCACCTGCTTTACTTCTAAACCTCATGCTACATTTGGCTCTCTTTAGTAGTTACGAGCTTAGAGTTGGAAGATCTCAAGTCAACCAATTATAATCAGTAATATGTATTTCCATTATTTCATCAAGCAGACGGCAGCAAAGAAATATGCTGGCTTCAGGATCACAAGGGGAGAATTCTACGACAGCGTCATCAGGAGCTTCTGCAGGGATGTGCACTCAAGGGTTTCCACCTTCGACATTACCTGCAGATGCGTCTTCAAGTCAGGTTGTCGGACATCTCATCAACCCTGATCTTGTTGGAGATGATGGAGATGATGGAAGCCGCAGACTCTATGTGATGAGTGTGGAGGATGGTGAAGCTCGCATGGACCTTACGGATGATCTTCTGCACAAAGTGAGTGGTTACCATCTATGCCACAGCGTTCTCTTCGTGACAGTGACAGTTTAAAACGTCTTCAAATGTAGACACTGCTACCAACATCCTGCTCGGAAATAGCTATTGAAATCATTCTGGGATGTATCCAGAGCGTGCATTAATTAGTCAAGCGGTTAGTGTGACGTCATAGACATAGATTGTATTTCACACGGATTATGCATTATGATTCTTAGCTGTTGTGCACCAGAATCTCCAAATTCGTTGAACTGTTTTTGGCGTGACGTTCCCTCAATTGTTGTTGGATCAATTGCTGTGCTCATTGAGTCAGTAGCGAAATAGTTTGGAAAGGGCTGCAGTCTGAACGCAGTATAATTTATTAATTTATGCAGGTCTTTTCATTTCTGAGAGATGTTGACTTATGCCAAGCTGGTAAAGTGTGTCGACAATGGCGGGTTGCAAGTACGCATGAAGATTTTTGGAAGTCATTGAACTTTGAAAGTCGTCAAGTTACTCATCAACAAGGTATAGTTTGTTTCAGTCATTAGGAGACGCTGATATTATTGTATGTAAATTTTATTTCCACACAGCTCTGATAAATTATGTTGTTTATAGGGTTATCAATTTGTGAATATGATGATTATACTTCATCTTGTATTTAGCAACCTTCCATCATGATCTGGATGGGACTCACCAGCAGGGGCACATGTTTTGGATTGATGCAGTGACGGTGTTGTGTGCAAGATATCCTAAAGCAACAGAATTGAATCTGAAAGGGTGTCCTTGCGTCGATGAGGTTCTTGTACATCAAGCAATGGTCTCGCTTCGGTTAGTGGGTTTTTCTATGTATTTTATATTGGCCCTATATCAGCTGATCTTCTCAAGAACGGCAATATCTTTGTTCTTTTGCTCGATGAAGCATTTTGAGACAATTGAATGGCTGACCTGAAAACTTGCTGAGCTTCTCCTATGAAGAGATGTTACAATGCGAATTGACATGATGTTTCTTGCATTGCAGTAACTTGAAGGTTTTGACCTTGGGACGAGGATTTTTGAGTGATGGATTCTTCTATTTGCTTTCTGGGTCTGAGTCTTTGCAAAGTTTGAGCATTACTGATGCGACTTTAGGAAGTGGTGGTGCCCAAGAGATACAACTTAAGCATGAATCACTGCGCTACCTTCAGGTTGTGAAGTGCCGGGTGCTGCGCATAGCCATAAGGTTCACATTCTTTCTCCATTTGGATCTGACATTGCCTGATCTGTTGTCTGTTTTGCATTTAGGCGCTGTTATGAATTTCAGTGATGGATGTTTTGAAATAGGATGCGTAATCTTATGCTGTATAGTAACGAAAAAACCTGTGAGTTTCCAGGTGTCCATTATTGGAGACGTTATCTTTGAAACAGACAGGGACGGCGTCTGCAATGCTTCATTGCCCTCGCTTGCTTAAACTCGATGTATCATCATGTCATAAACTATCTGATGCTGGCGTGCGTGCCGCCGCTACAGCCTGCGCGCTTCTTACATCTTTGGACATTTCCAACTGTGCCTATGTCAGTGATGAAACTTTGAGAGAATTATCTCTAGCTTGCTCTCATCTCCGCAGATTGGATGCCTCCTACTGTCCGAACATATCACTTGAGGTTAATCAGCTCGAGCTTTTTGCTGATCTCGATTTCGTGAGCTGTGTGTACATGAAGGTCCTCATTAAAGTTTACTTTTCATTGACATCATGACGTTTTCGGATCTCGTCTTGGTCGATCTAAAGTAGGGATCAAGTTCTTCTAGCAGTGTGGTTTACAAGGGTTGACGAACATATTCGTTGAGCGTTTATGAATTTTCTGTGGCAGGGTGTTCGGATGCCTATGCTCACAGATTTGAAGTTGGTGAATTGCGAGGGTATCAACTCGTCATCCATGGCTGCCCTTTCTTATTGTGTGATGCTCGAGGTACTTTCACGTGGATTTCTTATAAAAACATTATTTATTTAGTAATAACGTGTACTGTGGATAACATAAGTTCAACCCTATCGTCTTTTTATGCTCTATTCAACAAAATTAAAAAAAAAAAAAAAAAAAAATCCCTGTTCTGTACATGAAAATTAGCTTGTAGAGTAGCAGTATATTTTATAAATAGATAGACGTTAATGATTTGAAGATGCTTCTTGTAGAGCATGTACCGTGAAGCGCGTTATGACTTCCTGCTTAATGACTATTGTAGTTATTTATTTATTTATTTATTTATTATCAGTGCATGACATAAATTTTTAGATCTCACTGAACAGGGTGTTCTGTTTATTTTCCAGGTGCTTGCCATGGACTATTGTTGGCTATTAACTTCAGTCACATTGGATTTGCCACGACTTCGAAGTATAAGCATTGGACACAATCGCAAGTACTAAGCCGACACCAACCCTACTTTGCCTTTTCACTATTTCCTTCACATGTTAAATTTATATAATTTTCTACTTTCTGTGTGATTCCAATCATGAACTTTAAAAGTGTGTAGTTTACCCTATAAATGTAGTATCCGGTATTTCAAGCGGCAATTTATTTTACTTGCTTGTCGTCATAGTTAATTTTAGCAACAGACATGCACAGCCGAAGTAAATATCAGTTGTTTCGTCTGCGGGTTGTGGTCTGGAGGACTTCCTACTTATCTGTTCTTGGTTCAGATTTGCCCAGTTGGTTTATGGTATGGACATTGTGCAGATTTGGGGAGCTTACGTTGCGCAGCCCTGCTCTCACGTCGTTGAACCTCAGCCATTGTCCTGCTCTTAGTCGAATTGATATTGCATCAAGCAGTTTCGAGGTATACTGCCATTCTGCAATAACATACTCTGCACTCTAGTTTAGTTTAGTTCAGTGTACTGTTGGTGCAAACCCTAATAGTTGGACTGGTCTGGATACACTTGTATTCAATCAAAAATCAACGACAAACAACTTATAAAGATAAAGCAAAATGGTACTTTCGTCTATCAGTGTTAGTTTAACCTTACTACTGTTAGCCAACTAATCACATTCCTGGCACAAGTGCTACTCTTTTCTCAAATTTTCCATATTCCTCTTCTTGCTTCAGAAATTGTGTTTAAAAAACCAGATGGGCCTCTCAAGCATGGCTTTACAATGTCCTTGGCTTCGTGAGGTGGACCTCACTGAGTGCGAGTCTTTGAACGATTCAGTATGTGATGTCTTCAGCGACGGAGGCGGGTGTCCAAAGCTCAACTCGCTCACTTTGGATTATTGTGATGTATGATTTCCTTATTGCTTAAGCTCCATCATGTTTAACATAATTGCCAACTTTCTGGCATAATGTTGAAGAACCTTTTCATGAAGTAGAAGATTAGAGATTCAAGTTCAAGTTCGAGTTTAGATACTCACAAAATGATAGTGAAGCAAGTAGGGATTAAGAATATAAAATTGCAAGAATATAAAAATTGCAAGAATATAAAAATTGCAATTAATTTAGCTTCCTTCATTGTTTGTTCTTGCATTCATCCTCTTGTCTATGATGATCTTCTGTTTTGTATTCTATCTATTCAAATCAGCCAGGTGTAACTGAAGTGATACGTTATTTGTGTATCTTGCTTATTATAGGTGCGCTTATGAATATTGATTTTGTTGTTGGAAGCCACAGGATTACTGCTAATATCAAGGTTTTGCAGGGGCTTGTGAAAGTGAAGCTGACAGCATCATCCTTGCGCGCACTCTCGCTTGTGGGTTGCCGGAATATGATCTCCCTTGAGCTGTCTTGCCCTGTACTGCAGAGCCTTCTTTTGGATGGTTGTAACCGCCTTGTTGCTGCTTCTTTCTCTCCTGTACGTGTCTCCTTAAGCTATCTGTTGGCATGCAAATTATTATCAATCAATATGAAAAACATTTCTCACCAGGAGTAAGCAGTGTAGAAGATCTGCAGGAATATTCATGTCGGTGATGATCTTCAAAAGAAAGTTGCCGCATGAAGTAATGTGCTAATTTGCTGTTCTTCATGGTTATTTTTTGGTTGACATTCCCCAATTTTATTAAAGCGAGGGGAGTCCACCACCCTTTTAGTTCCAAAATATATATTGAAAAGTTACAACTGGCACATGTATCACTTTTGCTGGATATGTTTTGTCGCCAGTGGGATTGATGGCTCTGAACCTGGGAATATGTCCACATTTGGCGACGCTTGAAATAGAAGCATCTCAAATGACCACACTTGATTTGCGTGGATGTGGTGCTCTTTCCCAAGCCTTCATCCGATGCCCTCATCTTTCGTCATTGGATGCCTCTTACTGCAGGCAAGTTTATGTATCCGTTTATCCCTCATTTGTTAAGGTGACCGCTTTCAGTGGTAATATTATGTACTGTTCATCTTATTATTATTCTTTTTTGTTTTTGTTTTTGTTTTTGTTTTGTTTTTTTACTTCTGACAAGGCTTGTGGTATGTTCGGATGTGTGCAGTCACCTTGGAGATGATTGCCTGGCCGCAACAACAGCATCATGTCCTGCTATTCAAGTTCTAGTGTTGGCTGCATGCCCAGCAGTTGGGCCGGTTGGGTTACTTGCTCTGAAGAAACTTCCTCGTCTCACAATGCTAGATCTTTCATACACGTTCCTCACGGACTTGTCGCCTATCTTTGAGGCCTGTCCTCACTTGAAGGTATGTTGTAATCGCTTAGTGCTTTAGTGTGGCGAATATTATAAGCTTGCAGCTAGTAATTATGCTTAAGTCGAGTATGAATCGTCAACAGAATAAAGGTATGCATCATTTTGTGAAAGTGGTTTTGACATACGTTCTGATGTAAATGGTAGGTGTTGCGATTGTCTGCTTGCAAGTATCTTCAAGAGACAGCGCTCAATGCCTTACATGGAGGCAAGGTTTTATCCGAATTGCAAGAATTGGATATGTCTTATGGAAGTTTGGGCCGTGGTGCTATTGAGGGAGTCTTATCCTTGTGTCCTCATCTTACACAACTAAGTTTGAATGGTTGTTTCCATGTGACGGACCATTTGTGGAGCCGGCTTTCCACCCCTCCTCTCCCGCTTGAATCTATGACCTCGGAAGATACCAGGATGGAGGACGCCTGCTCCTCTGATGGCGTGGTAGATCAGAGTGGTCGAATGGATCATAAACTTCATCAGGATAATGTTCTTGAAACGCTGCGAGAGGTTACGCCTCACAAAAAGGAGATGATGGAGGGATGTGGTCAAGTTGAAACTGCTCAAGGCCATCAAGCAGGAGCTTGCTATGTGGCTGCCAACACTCTCTCTGACTCGAGATTAAAAGGGCCTTCTGAGGCACAAGGTGAACATGACACAGACGAGGATCAGTGGGTCTCTGAAAATGATGGCTCATATCCGCAGACTTTTGTGCCGATGACTGGACCAGCTCGGTTACTCCAGACCTTAAATTGCGTTGGATGCCCCAATATTCAAACTGTAGTCATACAACGAGATGCCGCATGTCATCATCTCACTACATTGAACCTGTCACTCTCGGGTAACATACGAGAGGTTCGCCTTGGCTGCAGCAATCTGACCACTCTTAATTTGAGGTCAGTGTTGTCCATGAACTTTTAGTGGTGCATTAATGATTCTTCGTCTTGTTCATCATCTCCACGGCCTCTGTCTCTCGCGCTGATCCTACCTCCCTTCCCTTCCGGATTTATTAAATTGTAATCTGTAAGTTCTTTTATGTTCTTTTGGAGTTACATTATGGTTCCTAGCCCAGTGCATCAGTTTATGCACTGGACAGTGGTGGGCGATTGGAATTGGTCTTTTCTTAAATTTGATTATTGGGATTTGTCTTCCTTGGACACCTTGTTGATGTTTTTTCCATTTGTAATGTTATCAGCCAATGTTCAGCACTTGTTGTACTTGAGCTCAACTGTCCGCGGCTTATCACGCTTTGTCTCCAGGTATACATATTTTCATGTTTTGTCACCATTTCTATTCGTTTTAGTATTTTTGTCTCTTCGGTTATTAGCTTATTTATTTTTCTTCCAGATTCATATTATTTACAATGCTTTCTTGTGGGGCAAAACAGGCAAGTAGTTAGCAACATTTATTGTAAATGTTTTAAGACATTGTAAGTATTATTTGTAGAGATTAACATGATTTGATTAGAATCTATGGTTGAATTTTGGGTGAATACAACTCCCTCTAATATGCAGTTCTTCCCTTTTTTGCAGTACTGCGGAATTGCAGCAGAGATGCTTGAGCATGCCCTTCGTGGTTGCAGTTTACTGGAGACTCTCGATGTTCGGAATTGTCCAAAGGTACTTTTGCGACAAGTCACCTCTGTTACCGCATCGATCTTTTGTACTTATTTGTATGTTCCGACTCTGTTGGAATTTTAGTCCCAAGCACAGCTGAATTACCTGAACCAATCCTTTAATCTCTGCAGGTCTCCACGAGCGTTCTAACTTGCATGAGGTCTATCTGCCCGGGGCTTAAGCGGCTGTACAGCACTTCATCTGCATGAGAGAGGCTTTGAGAAACCTCATGCAATATCAATGAGATTGCGTGTGTTTTAACCTAGCCAATCTGCAGCGTTTGAAAACTACATAAGGTATCTAGTAAATGTAAGTTGGGTATGCACTTTTTGTGTTCAATCTCGGCCCTTGAAAATTATTGAAATCCCGGAGGGAGACACCATTTGTAAGTGTATTTTGTGCCAATCCGGTCATGACAATGTGACCCCAGCTTCAATATTCAGTCGTCCCACTCCTTAGGTGTATTATTTTGAAAGAATAAATGATTAGTTGTAGGATTACTTAGGAAATTTTGATATAGTGGCCTTTTTTAACTTATTTGTATTAAATTACACAGGTGGTTTTTTAAGTTTTGAAGGGATTAACTCTTGAAGCTTAGAAACCAATCCCTTGTGAATTATGGTTTTCTTTTTCTTGCAAACAATGGCTCAAGTGAAATGAATGATCCATGGGAGAGGTGCAGGATCTTAGTGCATTAATTTGCATGTGAAATTTGTTTGTTGCTGCAATACATCATAATTAAGCATTTGCTATGATAAAAGCTTTGTTTTATTTTTTTGTTTATATTTCAAGGAAGTGCAAAGTAAGTCTTATTATAAGTTTCACATTTGTTGACACTTTAAAAGGAATGTTGTACCTTAGCAAGACAATTGATAATTATGTTATTCTTAGTATTATTGAAGATGAGAACTTTTATTGTTGAAATAACAGATGTTCAAACTGAAAAGTGAATCAACATAAATATTGTAACATATAGATGGGTTGGATGTGGTAAATTTAATGGAAACTAATCTTGTTTACAAATCCTTTATAATGATAAAGGAATTTGAGCCAATGTTAAAAGTATTTTCGATTAAAAACATTTACATTGATTTTGTTGAAAATTAAAACATATTATATATATGTAATTAAGAATAATATAAAAAATTACAAATTCTTAGATATGGGAAGAAACTACAAGTGTGATTAGATGCATTATGTAGTCACAAAACTATTCTAAAAAGTTTATTAGATTTAAGAAATTTTATAAAAGTGTAGTACAATATGGACACTTATTTTGTAAGGCTTATGGTCTTTAAGAAGCTTTTATATAGTTTTCTTGTTAGCCAATATATATTGGATCTAGACTAAATTTGTTTGTAGTCTTGTCAATGTTTATTTTTTATTTTTTATTTATTTATTTTCCTCCACTTTTTGAGGCTTTTTAATCTCCTTACAGTTGGCAAAAACCAATTTAGTTCTTTGTTGTTTAAAAAACACATCTATCTTTTGATTTTTTTTCTTTTTCTTTTAGGCTTTTATTATTTATCTATAAAATAAAACAACTTGGCTATAAGACAAAGATACAAAGAAGTCTTCTCATTGGTTGTAAAGAAGAGAACACAAGGAACGCAAGAACTTAAGGAATGTAAGAATGCAAGGAATGCAAGGCTTTCCAAGGTCTCGTAGTTTGGAAGAGATTCCTTTCAGAAGCTTTTACATATTTTTTGCACACAACAACATAGGTTTTCACTAGTATATATTATATACATATTTTATAGGCAAAACCAACTAAATTTTTATTGTTGAAAAATTGACACAATAGATAATAAATGTTATATTAAAATTTAATTATTTTTTAACAAAGATCAAATCAATATAATTTAAAATATAATTTAAAAAATTTACTATGTTATTCTTTCTTAAATAGAATTATTTATCATATTAAAGAACTTCTTTTATGAAAATATAGCAAAATTTTAAAAATCTACAAATTTAAAAATAAAAAATAACACACATATAAAAACCCATAAAAAAATCATACTTTTGTTGCATTATTTTTTTTTACTACTGCAACTACTATTAAAATTAATTAGTCATATAGATATGAAGATAATGATATTTTCTTTTGGTTTTCTGTAATTTTGATTTTTTTTATTATATTTATTATATGTTATAAATATATATATATATATATATATATATATATATATATATCATGGATATTTTAGAATCTCAAATACTACTCTAAACATCTATTTTTTTATTTTATTATATTTATAAAATATATATTTATAATTTTATAAATATGTCACATGGATAATTAGATTTGTCCTACAAATTTCTTACTTTTTGAAAGTAATGTTAGACACAATCTACAAGATAAAAAATATAACTTAGTGATTCAAGGCAACATGAAAATAAATTATAATAGCTAATACATTGGCACTAACTTAATATTAGAGAATGCACATAGGAGCCATCTAAGAATCTTGCAAATGCGTTAGAACTTGTTACAATTTAAGTTAACTTAACCTTTAAAACTTTGGAATTGTAAAGGAGATTCTAAAAAAAGATATGTCTTTTTTCAAATAGATGGATAAATATAACATGTATGGTAGCACAAATTTAGAAGAGACTCTTGAGATTTATTAGTACTATTGAAGGTGGATATAGTACTTTATGTAACACAAAAGTTCTTTGAAGGTAGTTATAATGGCTTTAATAATGATCAAATATCTAGTTGGTCTTTTTGCGTTAGTTTGATAAAGTATTGATGGATAAAAGAGCCTATCAACCATCTTTCTTTAGAACATAGATATATTTTTGTTATTAATACTATCCAAAAAATTATAAACTTTATCAACTTCTATAACAACTTATCTACTTTTTGTAGGCATCATTTTTTATAATAGAAGTAATATGATAAATATATGTATTACTTACATAAATAGAAGTAGAAATAGATAGAAATATGTCAAGTAGACAAATTTTTGAAGAAGCTATCAAAAAAAACTTCTTAACAAAAACTAGAAACTTTTACGTTTATTATTAAGACACATAACTATTAAAAATTGTCCTACAAATTTATTACTTATAGAAAATCATATTGGAAGCCATTTCCAACTTGATGCTTCAACCTTAAGTCTTATAATCCTTCTAAAGCTTCTACAAGACTATCTTGGTAGCTAAAATATATAGAGGCAAGATTGAAGCCATTCTCAATCTTATCAAGACCTTTCTTTGTCTTAGTTCAAGACTCTTTAGTTTCTTTGTAATTAGAAATAACTATTCTAGTTCTTTTCTTATTATATATTTTTCTCTTAATGTCACAAGACTAAATTATCTTTTCAAAATTTTGCACAAATTCATACCTTCAACATTAAGAACTTATTCAAAGAGACTTTAAGTGGATTTATATCTAGAAAATGTTCAAAGAATTTTATAATTATAATATATATATATATATATATATATATATATATATATATATATATATATAAATCTTAAATATTATTTGAATAAAAATATTTTTTACTATTATCTATTTTAAATTATAAATCTTATATATATATATATATATATATATATATATATATATATATATATAGATATATATATATATACTTAAAATTATTTTAATAATAAATTATATTATATATTATTATTTTTATCATTCTTTATATATATATACATACACATAAGTTTTGATAATATTTTTTTATTAAAAATATAATTTATTTATTTAGTGACAATATTTATATTAGGTGAATACATATTTTTTTTTAATTGCAATAATTTATAGGATAGATTTAGTAATTAATCTAATAGATATGAATTAATTTATATATAAAAATTTGAATAAAAAATTAAAATATATTTCATATTTTTATTAAAAACAATATTGTAAAAATATCAATAGTTATAACAAAAATTATAATAAAAATTAAATTTCAGATCTCTTTAACCTTGCAAGTTTGATTAAATATAGATTTTAGTATTTTTTTTGTTAAACTTAATAAAAAAATTGCATGCTTGTATTAAAGGTTTATATATGTATATATGTATATATATATATATATATATATATATTCTTAAGCATAAGATTTTTAAAGTATCAAAAAATACATATGAGGCTCTTAAAATAGCTTAAAAGCTTATAATTTATTTTAGTATCAATACTAAATAATTAAATTATATATACATTAATTATATCTATTAAATATAGATTTTTATTTTGGTATAATTATCTAGTATAAAGAATTTTGTTTCATTGTAGGATTATTTAATAAACTTTACAATGTTTTTGAAATTTAATACCAAATATATACTGAAGGTAGTCAAAGATGTGAAGTTCTAAATTAGCTTCGTAATGATATTATGCCTTAAGTATAATTAATATAAAAGAAAGATATGGATGTGAGGTTTTCTAATTTATTTAGCAATGATGTCAAGCTTGAGCAATTGTTTTTGTTAAGAATAGTCAAAGATGCATGGTTATACCAGATTTTATTCAAGAATAATTAAAGATGTAAAATTTCTTAATTTATTTAGAAACGCTGTTAAGTTTTTTAAAAATTTCAAACAAAAAATAGCCAAAGATATAAGATTTTTAGTTTTATTTAGCAATGATTTCAAGCTTGAGAAACTACTCATATTTAAAGAAGTCAAAGATATAAGATTTTTCAAATTACTTAGCAATGAAATCAACTTTGAGCACTTAATTATATTAAAGGTAGTCAAGAATGTGAACTTCAAAGATATAATATAGCCAAATTTCTTTGATAATGATATTAAGCTTGAATATCCATATATACTAAGATTTTTTAATGAAATTATATTTCTTATTAATTTTGGCAATACTTTTAAATGTCTACAATCTTTTATATTGATTTTTTTAATGACCTTAAATACTTTATTTTATTTGGTACTGTCATTAATTTTAAATATCTTTTTAAATCAAATTCTCATAATTTAGATTTTTTAAGTAATTATTTTAGAAATCTATTATATAAAAGCTATAATTCTTCCATTGCAATACATTCAAATTTTTAAATATTTTTTACATTTTTATCAATTAGCATAATAAATGCTTAT